GGTGAGGGGTGGGAGGAGAAATAGGGAGTGGGAGTAGAGGTGAGGGGTGGGAGGGGAAGTGAGGGGTGGGAGGGGAGGTGAGGGATGGGAGGGGAGGTGAGGAGAGGGTTGGTGAGTGTAGTGTCAGTGTGGCGTGAGTGGTGACGGCGGGCGGACACTCACACTCACCTGTACTCAGCGACCACTCAACACGGTAACTCATCTATCGCTTGTCGCACTTTCCTACACACTCACTATCTGACGCACTTTTCCACCCACTCACCGGGTGGCTGACAGTTTATCCCGTCATGAACGAACTGTCAGCCACATAATATCTGACGCAGGTGAATGAGATGTCAGCTTCATGAATAAGTTTTTTTTTTTTCATAATAAATCAAAATATTCTTCCTATAGCTCCGGGGAAGGGCATTGTTGTTGTCTGTCTGTCGGTCTTGTCTGTCTGTGTGTGTGTGTTTTGTTTGTCTGTTCACGGGTCCTGTCTGTCTGTCGGTCTTGTCTGTGTGTGCTAGTCTGTCGTCGGTCTTGTCTTTATCTGCGTGTTCAAGTTCATGTCTGTTCCTCGGTCTTGGTTCGTGTGTGTGTGTGTGTCTTATCTGTCTGTCTGTCGGTCTTGTCTGTGTGTGTGTGTGTGTCTTATCTGTCTGTCTGTCGGACTTGTCTGTCTGCGTGTCTGTGTCTTGTCTGTCTGTCGGTCTTGTCTGTGCGTGTGTCTGTCTGTCTGTCGGGCTTAACATAAGAACATAAGAAAATAAGGAGTCTGCAATAGGCTGGTTGGCCTGTGAATGGCATCTCCTGTCGAGAGTTACTACCTCTCTATCATCCATGAATCTATCTAGCCTCCATTTAAAACCTTCCAGCGTTCCAGCACTTACCCTATTTGTGAACCAGTTTCTTCCTATCTCCCTCCTAAACCTAAACTTATCCTTAAATCCGTTGCTACGAGTCCTATCCTGCTCGGAAATTATAAGAACTTTATCTATATCCACTTTATTGATTCCTTGCACCCACTTAAATACTTCTATCACATCTCCTCTTCGTCTTTCTAGGGAATGCAAGTATAGTTTATTTAACCTATCTTGATATGGAAGGTTTCTAAGTCCCGGAATCATTTTCGTCATTCGTCGCTGCACCGACTCTAGTGAATTGATATCCATTCTATAATAAGGGCACCAGAACTGAACAGCATAATCGAGGTGCAGCCTGACTAGTGCAAGATATAGTTGCAATATGACCTCCGCACTCTTATTACTTACATTTCTAGATATAAAACCTAATACAGTACTCTGCTTGCTTTATTTCGAACATTAACGCACTGTTTTCTGTGGTGGGATGAAATCCTAGACAAGGTTCTTCAAACTCCAATAGCACGAGCAGTAGATATATTCAATAAGTGGTACAAGACTTGGCGGGATAACCAACCGGTACAGGAACAGGAGCCAGCACAAGGAACTCCTCGTCGTAGGCAGGCCGAAGCCCATCTGAGGGAAATTAGCTAGCTAGGCAAGGAGAGTTGCTAGACATTACTAGGACAATAAATGAGGTCTTCTAGTTACTCGACTAACGCGTTACAGACATAGTATATCGGGACATAGTAAGTGAACATAGGCATTAGACATAAGCATAGATATCAGACATGCTATAATAATATGTAGTAATACAGACATGTGAATAAATGGTACGATGAATGGTAACAGAGTCCTGGCGTCAGGCGTGTTCACATATCTTGGTATTTACATATCTATACATTTTCTAGGCCGTAAGTCCGGGCTTAGAAATACCCTTAAGTCTCTTTCACATGTCGACTTCTCTAGGTTGATGTTGTTAAGGCTGTGTACATTGACAGTATTTGTTCTTCCAATATTAAGTACGCTGCACTTGCTGGTGTTGAATTTCATTTGCCATTTTTCTGACCACTCCTGCAGTTTATTTAAATCCTCCTGTAGTGCATTTGCATTCTGCCCTGAATTAATCTGCAGCCCTATTTTGGTGTCATCCGCAGACTTGCTTATGTCACTGCTGATCCCAGTATCTAGATCTTTTATGTAGATTATGAACAAGAGTGGGCCCAGTACTGACCCCTGGGGAACCCCACTGGTTACACAGCGCCACTCAGATTTAACACCATCTACGCGGACCCTCGATACCATGAGCCTTAATTTTTCTCAGAAGCCTCTGATGCGGTACTCTGTCAAATGCTTTGCTAAAGTCTAAGTAAATAACATCGTAATTTTCGTCATTATCTACTACCTCGAAGACCTTCCTACAAAACGTCAGCAGATTTGTTAGACAAGATTTTCCCTTTGTAAACCCATGTTGAGAGTCATAGATCAATTTGTTTTTCTCTAAATGCGATCGGATGCTATTTGCTATAATTTATCCGATAAATTTCCCCACTACTGACGTCAAACTAATCGGCCGGTAATTTGACGCTGATGCTCTGTCTCCCTTTTTGAATATGTGTACTACATTTGCCTGTTTCCACAAGAATGGCACAACTCCCGTGTCAAATGATTTTGTAAATAAATTTACGAGGGGTCTGCAAATCTGTTCCCTACACTCTTTCAAAACTCGAGGGAAAATTTCATCAGGCCCTGGGGATTTTGTCTTCCTTAATTTAATTATCTTCTTAAGAACATCCTCTTTTCTGATAGTGATATTCTTTAATTTCTCTTCTTCATTTGCCCTAAATATCAGTTCCACCTCTGAAATTTCCTCGTGAATTTCTTTTGTGAAAACTGATAAGAAGTAGCTGTTTAATGCTTTGCATATTTTCTCACTATCATCGATCACTTCTCCTCTCTCTGACTTAAATGGTCTCACTTTGTCCTTGACCTTTGTCCTATATACCTGGAAAAATCTCTTGGGATTCGCCTTGGATTCTCTTGCTATCCTGATTTCATAGTCCCTCTTTGCCTTCCTTACATTTTTCTTAACATTCCTAGATAGTTCATTATACCTATTTCTGAGCTGCTCCTCCACTCCCTTTAAATTCTTATAAATTCCATTCTTTATTCCTATGTCATGTTTAAGTTTTTTGGTCATCCACCTTGACTCATTCTTATTTGACCTAATTTTTCTGTGTGGTATATTTTGTTCTTGTGCTTTACGTAGTATACTAGTGAATATATTATAGTCATGGTCAATTGTTGTGTCGCCTGTGACCTCACCCGATCCTACCGGGGACTGACCTGACTGTTCCCAGGCGACCTCACCTTGGTACCTTCTTAACCCCTCATAATCGGCCGATCGAAAGTCTCAGGGCCGGATTCAGGAGTGGGCAAAGTGGGCAGCTGCCCAGGGGCTTCCACAATCTGGGGGCCTCCACATATTACAATATTTTATTTATTTGTTTATTCATTTGGATTATTTTTATTTTCATTCTTTAAAATTTATGTTTATCTATTCCATCACGTGAAACTATGTTCAGCAAGAAGCGCGATAGAAATTAGGCTAGCTACTCCTTGAAATTCATGAATATCTGGTTTTCCTATGAACGGTATATTTTTAATGAATGCTATTGTTTGTGTTGCTAATAATATATTTTGAATTCCACAAACATATATTGATTAAAAATGAACTACATGGAATAACGAAATTGAGATTAAAAAATATATATATTTTTTTTCATTATCACTTCCATTACGAATGCCATCAGGGCGCTGTGTTTGTTGACAGTCGGTCGGAGGGGGTTGGGTCGTGTAGTATCTGCACATCGGTTGTCTAGTGTCTGTGGATTAAAGAGGAGACTTGCGTCGCCCATGATTCGTGAACTTCCCAAGAGTAGACATAAACATGTCTTGCAGATGTAAAATTAGAGAGAGAATTGTCATGTGTGCTTGTTGAGTGAAGTCGTCGCCGCTCAGTGATGAATGATCTTGTTAATTGTCATTTCCTAGAACATGTCTTGCAAATGTAGTGAGAGTGCGAGTGAGAGAGAGTCGATTGATGCTTGTGCTTGAGTGTGGGTGGGTGTGCTCTTAGAATATACGTTCACATATATAACTGTGCCTTAAGATACTACAGGTCGATTGGCTGCAATTAAGTTGAGTTATTTTTATGTATTTTGAGTACATTAACTATGTCAATGACGGTTTCTGTCAGTTCCACGCTCAGTATTTACAGTATAACACAGTATAATCAATGGTGAAAAGGAGGCGAACCGACGGCGAGCTTTAGGGGTGGGACCGGGAGAAGTCAGAGGGAGAAGTCATAATCTTACCCAAAATTCCAAATTTTAAAAATATGCTGGCGTCCAAATGTTCCAGGGAGTTAAGTAATCAATTAACCTCTCCATAAAGTAGCAAAAAGCAAACGGCCAATTTGTGTTACGTTTTTAATTATAACGAAAAATTAGGTGTCCGTCTTTGTTGACAGAAAATTATTGTTGCAGAAATGAGTGGAATGAACAGACACAAAGGTGTACGACGTTTCGAAAGTGGTGCTGCAAAGAGAAAGACATCTAAAGAACGTGCTGAGAGAGAAGCTAAAGAATTTACAAAAACACGTCGACTGACTGAATTCTTCACTCGTCCATCAGCTTCAGAACAGCTAGTCAGTGCTTCTGCAAGCTCACCTTCAAGGCAACCAGAACAAGTACCTGCATGTGATGCATCAGCTTCCTCTTTATATGGCAGCTCTAGCCTATTTACAGGGGGAAATGACCAGACTGCCGAGGAGATTGAAATTGAATCAAAGCATGTGCCTCCTGAAGTGCAAATGGCAACTACACAAAATTATGACATTGACATTAGCTTATGGTCAGAATATTTGACAAAACAATTTATTGATTATTGGGCTGCGAACGGTTCTGAGAGTCTCCACCACAGTGATGCTAATTTTTTGGATGCAAAATCAACAGTACAAAAAGATGCAAACAATGTCAGTCGCAAATGCACACCAGCCATGTTTGAGGGAAGGAATCGAAATGGGGAAGTTATAAAGCGTTCTTGGCTTTGTTTCTCCCCAGCAAATGGCGGGTCTACTGCTTCTTTTGCAAGCTAATGGGTGTTTCAAGATCTCAGTTCACATCTGATGGGTTCTGCGACTGGAAGCATGCTAATAGGCTTGTTGTCCATGAGCAATCAAAGGACCACATTCAAGCAGTTTTGTCAGCAGCAAGTCGCGCAAAGGGAGCTGGAGGTATAGATTCTAAACTAACTACGCATGTGCGTCAAATTGAGCAGTATTGGTGTAGTCTTCTAAAGCGATTGATCAGCGTGCTTAAATTTATATGTGAAAGAGGGCTAGCTCTTCGTGGAGATGATGAAATAATTGGATCTCCTCATAATAGAAATTACTTGGGATTACTAGAGCTTTTGGCCGAGTATGATGATTTCCTCAGGCAACACATCCAGAATCATGCTAATCGTGGCACTGGTCATACAAACTATTTGTCTTCAACCATCTGTGAAGAAATTGTCAGACTAATGGGCAATGAAGTACTGAACGAAATTATCTCACGTATAAAGCTCTCAAAATATTACTCAATTTCTCTAGATTCCACCCCTGATGAAGGCCATATTGATGAACTAACTCTGATAATCAGATACATGGAGCATGACACACCTGTTGAGAGATTTGTGAAATTCTTGCCAAATCAAGGACACAAGGCTCAAGAAATGTTTGAAGGTTTGATGAAGTTTCTTGCAGACAATGACATTGACATTCAAAATTGTCGTTGGCAATCTTATGATAATGCAACATCTATGAGAGGGAGGTACAATGGTCTGCAAGCCAAAGTTGTAGCTGAAAATCATCATGCAATTTGGATACCCTGTGCTGGTCATTCATTAAACTTGGTTGGAAAAGCTGCAGCTGAATGTTGTCAAGAAGCTATCTCATGTTTTTATTTTCTTGAGGCAATTTATGTTTTCTTCACAGCTTCTACACATCGTTATGCAATTCTTAGTGATTTATTGAAAACTGTAGCGTCTGGCCCGGTATCTGTGCCAAAGAGGATTTCCACAACAAGATGGTCCTGTCGAGCAGTTGCAGTGAAAGCAGTTGTCCAAGGTTATCTCCCAATAAGTGTAGCACTTGCTAAAATAGCAAGAGATGAAAATGAGACGAGCAAAACATGTTATGAAGCCAATGGTCTCCATGATAAGATGTGCAAGTTAGAGACTGCTATTTATGCTGTGTTTTGGCATGGCATTCTTGGCAGAGTTGATGCAACAAGCCATGCATTGCAAGATCCTAAACTCGATTTGAACACAGCGGTAGCAATACTGAAGTCCTTGGAATGGTTTATACGAGAAAAAAGAGATTGCTTCCATGTTTATGAGAAGAAGGGAAGGGAAATGTCAGAAACTGGGGATTATTCACAGACACGCAAGCGTCAACTAAATGTACGACTCAATCCATTGGATTATGGACGACCAGAAGAAGCAGCCCTCTCACAGTCAGAAAAATTTCGGGTTCAAAATTTCCTTCCAGCAATTGATCAGTTCCTGAGTTCACTGGATCAACGGTTAAAGGCCTATGAGGAAACCTGTTCACTTTTCGGGTTCTTGTCTAAACTGGAGTCAATGAATTGTAACGAAATTGAAGCAGCTGCAGCAAAATTGGTTGCTCAGTACAAAAATGATTTGGATCAAACACTTGGAGTTGAACTTGTGCAGTTTACAGCATTCTTCACTCTATTTCTTGAAGACGAAGATGATGAGAAAGGGAGGGCACATTACCTTTACAAGCTGTTGATAGACAAGAAAGTTGTAGATACATTTCCAAATGTTGAAATAATACTACTGCTGTACTTGGTGCTCATGGTCACAAATTGTTCTGGAGAACGTCTTCAGTAAAATGAAGTTTATTAAAAACAGACTTCGTACTACAATGTGTCATGATAGGCTCAACCACCTGGCTTTGATGAGTGTCGAATATGACATCCTCAGAGCGATTGACTTCGAAAAGTTGATCATAAACTTTGCAACGGCCAGGTCACGTAAAGTGCCTGGTCTGTAAATAAAGGTAATGTTTATTTTCTATTTTGCAATTGATCAATGTTTGTGTTCAATATATCCATTATCCATGGTAGATGGCAGTTATTTTTATTAAAATTCTTGTTTTTTCCAACATGTTCATACTTTTGTTATAATTTTATCAAATTCATTAAATTGTTTATTTGTTTTACTATTGGACGCAAAACATTCAATTTTATTTATAGTTGAGTTAATACTTATTCTGAATCTATCTGACCTTAGACTTAAAGAAGCCTATACATGCATTCTTGGACAGAACCATTATTTGAGTAGAGGTTTATCTGAGTAATAATGCAAAGAATCATCTCTCTGTAATAACTAATAATATATTCTTTTCTGTGAAATCTCTTGAAAATTTTTGACAAGTGCGGTAGTAGCTATATCAGGGCTGGTCGACTTGAAACCACATGAATGACTCCAGTCATGTCTCACTTTTGTGTGTGTGTTGGGAATTTGTACACTATCAATAAATATACAGTTAATTAAAAATTTATCAATGTTCTAATTTCCTCCATATAACTGCATATTGCTTCAAAATTCTCCAAAGAAGTGTTCAAATTTCAAAACTTTCCCGGGGGCCTTACAGCGCCCCCCTGAACTCCCAGATGTTTAAGCTCGCTTCACTCGCCACCCCACCCTCTTGGGTAATTATAATGAGGGGGGCCTCCACAAAGAGGCTGCTCATGGGCCTCCACAGGTCTAAATTCGGCACTGGAAAGTCTGGGACTCTGACCATATTGTCATTGTTTCTCGTTTCCCAATTTAGGGTGAACCTGATTTCTCTGTGATCACTGTTTCCTAGTTCTTCCCCTACTGTGATATCTCTGATAATATTTTCTTTATTTGTTAATACTAGGTCTAATATATTGTCACCTCTAGTAGGTTCTGTAATTAGTTGTTTAAAAAAATTGTCCTGTACTGCGTCTAGGAAGTCTTCAGATTCATAGTCACCTACAATGTTGTCCCAGTCAATATTTCTGAAGTTGAAATCCCCCATAATACACAAGTTGTTTTATTTTGCTGCCCTACTCATTTCCTGCCATATGGGCTGAGCTGCTTCTTTCCCAAGACTTGGGGGCCTGTAAATCACTCCCATAATTATTTTTTCTCTTCCTTCTGCAATTTCTACCCATACAGACTCGGTTCCTATTTCACCATTTATTGAATTATTAATACAACATTTTAATGTATCCCTGACGAAGAGTGCGACCCCTCCCCCACTTCCTACCTTCCCTGTCCTTGTGAAAAAGGTTGTACCCTTCTATGTGGTACTCTGATAAAAAGTTCTTGCTCGCCAAATTCTTCCAAGTTTCGGTGATTGCTATGACGTCTACATGCTCGGTACATACAACCGCTCTCCTACTGTTTGTATAGTATACATTTAAACCTACCCTTCCCTGGTCCTGTTTTACCCCTTGTCCTGAGTAACCAATTTTACTCCTCAGGACATGTTTTTTTTTTTTGACGCCAGCTTACCCCGACCTCTCTCTACTGGCGAAACCCCCCCTTTGGAGTGAAACTTTCACGCTCCATGGATGCGGACAACGTCTTTACCCCCGCGCAAGACAAGTGTACTCCGTCACCATGTTTGTGTCCGAGAGTCATTGTATAGTAACGTCAATATATTGATCTATTAATGTGTTCATGCCACTGAGTAAACTAATAAATAACTGTATTAGAATTGGTGTTTAGAAAGTTAGCGGTCAAACACCTAACCGGCCACTCTGCCAAACTTTCCTCGCTTTACAAGCCTATTAATAATAATTCTTACTTTACTTGTAACTCCTAATTTACTTTCATGATATAACCTTAACTAACCATAACCTAACTATAGCCTAAACCTAACCTAACCCGAACCATAATCTAACCCAAAATAGGGCGGCAGATTAATTCAGGGCAGGATGCAAATGCACTACAGGAGGATTTAAATAAACTGCAGGGGTGGTCTGAAAAATGGCAAATGAAATTCAACACCAGAAAGTGCAGCGTACTTAATATTGGAAGAACAAATACTGTCAATGTATACAGCCTTAACAACATCAACCTAGAGAAGTCGACTTGTGAAAGAGACTTAGGGGTACTTGTAAGCCCGGACCTACAGCCTAGAAAAACAGTGCGTTAATGTTCGAAATAAGGCAAACAGAAGTGTAAGTAATAAGAGTGCAGAGGTCTTATTGCAACTACAGTATATCATGAGCTATTCAGGCCGCACCTCGATTATGCGGTTCAGTTGTGGTGCCCTTATTATAGAATGGATATCAATTCACTAGTCGGTGCAGCGAAGAATGACGAAAATGATATCCGGGACTTAGAAACCTTCCATATCAAGATAGGTTAAAGAAACTAAACTTGCATTCCCTAGAAAGACGAAGAGTGCGGGGAGATATGATAGAAGTATTTAAGTGGGTGAAAGGAATCAATAAAGGGGATATAGATAAAGTTCTTATATCCGAGCAGGATTGGACTCGGAGCAACGGATTTAAGTTGGATAAGTTTAGGTTTAGGAGGGAGATAGGAAGGAACTGGTTCACAAATAGTGTGGTGAACGAGTGGAACAAGCTTAGCAACTTTGTATAAGTGCTGGAACGCTGGAAAGTTTCAAAAGGAGGCTGGATAGATTCATGGATGATAGAGTGGTAGTAACTCTCGACAGGAGCTGCCATGCACAGGCCAACCGGCCTATTGCAGACTCCTTATTTTCTTGTTCTTATGTTAACCTACCCTAATCTAATCTAACCTCACCTAATCTAACCTAACGTTAACTAACCTGACCTTAACTAATCTAATCTAACCTAACCTAACCTTTTCTCTTCTTGGTATACTGAATTTGTACTGCCAAATTACGTTTCAACTACCCACGAAAACATTACATTATTATTATTATTTTTAATTATAATTATTATTGCTATTATTATTATTTTTATTATTATTATTGTTTATTATTATCATTAATATATTTATTATTATTATCATTATTATTATTATTATTATTATTACTATTATTATTACTATTATTATGATTATTATTATTTCTATTATTATGATTATTTTTCTTACTATTATTATTATTATTATTATTATTATTATTATTATTTTTCTTATTATTATGATTATTTTTCTTATTATTATTATTATTATACACCAACAACCAGTAATGAACACCATAACACTACGGCTCTCCCGGACACTCATTAAGCCTCACTCGTTATATTAGCAGTAACGACTCATAATTTCAACATGGCTGGCATTTATTCACCGAGCCGGGAGTCACAGCCGAGTGTTTTCCATTATCACAGACTCGACCAATGGTAAAAGTTGAGAGATAGAGAGGAAATACTCAGACCAATTGCTGCCGCCCATCACGGTACACCTGAATGGATAATACAGGAATGATGATTTAACCCTTGATGATGATGATGATTTAACCCTTTGAGGATGATGATGATTTAACCCTTTGAAGACGATTATTTTACCGCTACACCACCCCGTTAAGTACAGTACTGCGGTGTCCCTCAGGACTCATCTAGTTTAAAACTCGGGTTGAAACACGACGACCCTCTTCAAGGGAAGATGTTGTTTAATAATAAGGGCGTAAGTATCTCCATGACTACTCCTTATAATTAACTCAATAAACTGTATATACTTACTACTGTATAATTAACACCTATGAATATACGGCTACATAAATTGTTTAGGTTAGGTTAGGTCAGTTTAGGTTAGGTTAGGTTCAGTAATCTACCATGGCCGCCACACAAACATGGAGATAGTTCGACTTCTTCATTATACGCTCTTGGTATGGATCACCTTATAACTAGCCCCCCCAGCTTATTTTACCCTAACCTAACTTACCATAATTTAACCTCTCCCCCCAGCTTATTTTACCCTAACCTAACTTACCATAATTTAACCTCTCCCCCCAGCTTATTTTACCCTAACCTAACCTAACTTACCTTAATTTAACCTCTTCCCCCAGCTTATTTTACCCTAACCTAACCTAACTCTTCATAATTTAACCTCTTCCCCCAGCTTATTTTACCCTAACCTAACCTAACTTACTTTAATTTAACCTCTTCCCCCAGCTTATTTTTACCCCAACCTAACCTAACTTACCTTAATTTAACCTTCCCCCAGCTTATTTTACCCTAACCTAACCTACCTTAATTTAACCTCTTCCCAGTTATTTTACCCAACCTAACCTAACTTACCTTAATTTAACCTCTTCCCCAGCTTATTTTACCCTAACCTAACCTAACTCACTTTAATTTAACCTCTTCCCCAGCTTATTTTACCCCAACCTAACCTAACTTACCTTAATTTAACCCTTCCCCAGCTTATTTTACCCTAACCCAACCTAAATTACCTTAATTTAACCTTCCCCAGCTTATTTTACCCTAACCTAACCTAACCCCTCTCCCCCCAGTAGCGTTAAGGTGTATAATTATCGGGTGAAATAAATTATTGGGGTGATCTTCAGGTGACCTATAAGGCACTACAGTACGTCTCGTTTGATCCCCGGCCGGACCACATGTGAAGGGTGTGACGCTGCAGGGCACTCTAGCTGCCTCCTGTGCTGTACTGTAACATTAAGGTGAAGGGTGACGCTGCAGGGTACTCTAGCTGCCTCCTGTGCTGTACTGTAACATTAAGGTGAAGGGTACGCTGCAGTCGCTCCACAACATGAAGGTGACCTCAGGACTTAGCCGCCTCCTGTGCTACTCAACATTAAGGTGAAGGGTGACGCCAGGGTACTCTAGCTGCCTCCTGGCTGTACTGTAACATTAAGGTGAAGGGTGACCTGCAGGGTACTTACTGCCTCTGTG